CCAGCCCCACAGACCTTTCCCAGGCAGGAGAGCTGGGACTGCCAGAAGCGGTGCCGCCGGGACGTGGGGAACAGGGAGTTGGCGGGGCCGGAGGAGGCGATGAGGATCAGGGGCGATCCGGGCAGTTTGCTCTGCAACGTCCAACAGGAGCCTGTCAGGGACAGCAGCACCCCCAGGAAGGGCCTCCCTGCCCCACAGGGAAGGATCTTGCACAGCTCTTTCATTGTTTTCCCAAGCCAAAGCTCCCTTGGGATACCCAGGAGAATTTCTCCAACAGAAGAGATTCTCCTTTTCTGGGCTCTGCTCCCTGGGACAGGGACAGGATCCAGGGAATGGCTGGAGCTGGGCCAGGGGGGGATCAGGGTGGGATTTGGGATGCTGGGCACTGCCCAGGGAATGAGCACAGCCCTGAGGCTGCCGGAGCTCCGGGAGCCTTTGGATTTTGGGGTGTCTGTGCAGGGTCCCAGGGATGCCCAGGGCGGATTTTGGGGTGTCTGTGCAGGGCTCCCAGGGTGGCATTTTGGGGTGTCTGTGCAAGGACAGGTTGGATTGATGATCCTGCTGTGCCCCTTCCATTCAGGTGTAAATCAGGGGCAGAGGAGCCCAGGGAGAGCACAGAGGCAGAGGATGGGGAGACTGAAGCTGCCACAGAACCCCCACATCCCCCCAGGGGCACTCACTGGTTTATTATGGGACAGGACACCCACAGCTGGGTCCCAGGGTCTCTTGAGCAGCAGGGACAGCGCCTCAGCCCCTGCTGCTCCTGTCTTGGCCGTGGAGGAGAGCAGCATCCTGTCAATCAGCGCAGGGATCTGCAAACAGAGACCAGGGGGAAGTGAGAAAACACACCCAAACCATGGCACAACAACTCCAGCCTCTGCCAGCTGTGCCAGCCAGCCCTCCCCCTGCCTTTATCACCTTTCCCTTGAGGGTCTGCAGGGCATCCAGGTATGCAGCCAGCACGGGCAGGCTCAGGGTCTCCACCAGCGTGGTGTGGAGCCACTGGATGAGCTTGGTGTCCCAGTTGACGCTGGCCAGGGCCTGGCGCACCCTGCGGGCGCATTTATCCACGGCAATCCTCCTCAGCACGGGCTCGTTGCAGGCCTGCAAGGAGGAATTCCCAAAAAACAGTTCAGGGCAAGGAGGATGGAGCATGGCACTGCAGCCCCAGCCCCAGGGAAAGGTCAGGGTGGGCTGCACAAACATCTGGAGGAAGGACAACATCTGTCTGAGGAGGAGCAGGCTGAGGGGAGCCCTCAGAACAACCCACAACTTCCAAGGGGAAGCTCTGATCCCAGGGACAGGACCCAGGGAATGGCTGGAGCTGGGCCAGGGCAGGCTCAGGGTGGGATTTTGGAAAGGTTCTGTCCCCAGAAGTGCTGGGCACTGCCCAGGAAATGGGCACAGCCCTGAGCTCCAGAAGCCTCTGGATTCTGAGGTGTCTGTGCCGGGCCTGATGATCCCAGTGAGTCCCTTCCAGCCCAGGACAGTCTGTGATCCCACAAAACCCACAGAGCCCAGAGCTGCCTGCTCCTCAAGGCCACCCCAGGGCCCCAGGTGCCACGCTGAGCAGCCCAGGTTTGTGGGGAGGGCAGAGCCCAGCCCCTCTCACCCCCTCGTTGGCCAGGCGGGCCAGCCTGTCCGACTGCAGCGCCTTGTGGATCTTGTTGAACAGTTTGTTCTGGGCCATGGTCCAGCCCGTCCTGCGGGGACAGACACAGCGGGGTCACCCACAAACCCACCAAAGCACTCCTGCTTCCCCTGCCCTGGAACTGCCACCCCACCTGCTGACGTTCTCCTCCCAGCCCTATTCCCATTCCCATATCCCCTGCCATTCCCAGCACCCATTCCCATTCCCAGCCCCTATTCCCATCCCCATTCCCCACCTGTTGACGTGCTCCTCCCAGACCCCATTCCCATTCCCAGCCCCTATTCCCATTCCCATATCCTCTGCCATTCCCAGCCCCTATTCCCATCCCCAGCCCCTGTTCCCATTCCCATTCCCATGCCCCACATGCTTACATGCTCCTCCCAGCACCCATTCCCATTCCCAGCCCCTATCCCCATTCCCATATCCCCTGCCATTCCCAGCACCCATTCCCATTCCCAGCCCCTATTCCCATTCCCAT